ACAGTCATCACTCAGTGATAACCAGAGACTGTAGACACTCATTGCTCAGTGATGCCCAGCGAGTGTAGACAGTCATCGCTGTGAAGTGGGAGCTCTTGATAGCTCACCCTCCAGCTGGTTTCCAATGCCGTGAATCACATCAGAGAGCAGACTGAGATTTTCCTCTCTTGAAGTTGTGGTAGATTTGAACCATCATAAAGGTGCAGCCTTTGGGGTAAGGCTGTCTATAGAGTCTGTCACCACAGCTCCTTTTGTAGAAACATATCTATAGAGATTGTAGATATGTCTACAATACGCCTACACATTCTGATTCCTAGAAAACGGACTGTATAAACTGCAAAGAGTCTTACACACAGATTATTAATGACATTTTTGTAGTGTATGAGATAAAAGCAAATCTGCGCCCACAAAATTCATACATTCTACCACATTGAACTTACTAGCTTGTTTCCTTTTTGATAAGAGTTACAAATTATGTGGGGCACATGCTAGATAGAAAGATTTTAAAATATTATACTTGAATAGGACACTTGGGAATTTTATTTTTAAATTATATTTTATGGAAAAGAGGGACAATATTGTCAGAACATATTCAGAATTCAGTGAATCTAATGATGACTGGCTAAAGTTTCATCATTAATTGTATTGGTCCCCTCCTGAGAGAAGGTTTGGACAACTTTTTTCCTGAGCCAAGTCTGTGTAAATAGGATATCTGTCAATGACAATACTGGACAGAAATTCAATGAAAACATAAACATCTGCCAAAACTACAGCTGTCTTCTCTCTGCCACATGACCTCATTATTCGTAGCACAGATTACTGGGAAAGAGAATTTGATGTAAAGATGACCACATCCAGTTGTCAGTGTTAGGAAAATAGTAAGATCCCACTCCCACCCCTCCCAGTTACAGAACCAGGCACTTTGATCTTACAAACTACATTCTTCTGAAGCATCTTTTATGACTTCTCTTCTGCCCATCTTGACCATGGGTGTTTCTAGACCCCGGGCTTACAATGATTACAGCTATTATCAAACAGAAGACACTTGCGCACTACTTGCTTTTTGTACAGACTTTCTGTCTACTTGACATGCCATTTTCCCAGGATAGAAATACACCTTGTCAATTGATCAATACTAATAACATCCTATATGACTGTACTCTGCTCATGACATCACAATTTGCTGAGACATAAGTCTATTATAAATTACTTTTAAAGTTTTAATGCAATAAGTTTGTTGGTTTTCCTATTAAGAAGATAATGAAAACAAAATAGAGTGACGGTAAACCTTTTATTTCACTTTCCTGTGATTAAGAAAGTAGCATATTTAAAACAACTATGAGATACCATTTCACCCCAGTAAGATTGGCAAAGTTTGACAGAGCAGCAAACAACAAATGCTGGCAAGATTGTGGAGAAATTGGAACCCTTATTCACTGTTGGTGGGAGTGTAAAATGGTGCAACCACTACGGAAGGTTGTATGGCGCTTTCTCAAAAAGCTGGAAATAGAAATACCATTAGACCCAGCAATTGCACTACTGGGAATATATGCTAAAGAAACCATAACTGCCACCCAAGAAGATATATGCACACCCATGTTTATTGTGGCTTTGTTCACAATAGCAAAGAGTTGGAAACAACCCAAGTGTCCATCAACAAACAAATAGAGAAGTTGTGGTATAGTCACACAATGGAATACTATACTGCATTGAAAAACAAGGAACTCATGAAATATTATACAAAATGGGTGACCATGGAGAATATTATGCTGAGTGAAATATCACAGTCACAAAGGGACAAATACTGCATAATGCCAATGTTATAAAACAGGACTGACATCAGGGTTGGGGGAATCTAAGAAAAGAGGTAAATAATGTCTACTGCATTGAAAAAGATGAGGGAGAGGACTGTTTGAAAGGAATGCAGGATTAGGTCATATTTTCATGACAAGAGTCCAGAATGAGAGCTTCACTGAGGAGTGGACTTGGGGAAGCAGGTTGTAGAATAATTAAAGGGGTATTTTTCACACTTTTAAAGAGGAAAACCAACTTGGGGGAGGGGTGGGCAGGAAGGAAAGTGTGCAACAATGAATGAATGTAAATTCGAAGTCTCTATAAATTTTCATTTGATTGTTTTAAAAAAAGAAAGTAACATGTATTTATAAGTTGTAATTTCATAATAGCTATAGAAAAAATGGTAAAGTCCAGTAACAAACTTACCCCCACTTGGATAACCAGGTGTGGAAGGGTCTCCTCCTGGGTTCAGAGATACCATGAAGCCATCATAGCGAAGATGTGCAGTCTCTGGTAAATCACAAGGATCAATGTACAGGAGAACACCTCCAAACCCAGCCTTTTCCAGCAAGGAAAGCTAAAAAAAGGCAACAAAGTATTAGCTACATTTTGGTCCAAGTCCATTTACTATGTAGAGTTCATGTACTCTCTGCAGAAATACGGCTAAATTAGGATTGTTCTGGCTTCTTTTGTCTTTTAAAACGATCACGTGTTTCATGTTCTTCAGTTGGTAAGTACATTCAGGGGATTTCTCCCTCTTAGAATCTTTCCTCTGTAGAGGGCTATTCAATATAAGGAGTTTTGGTGGCTTCGTGACAAGGAGCTAGGATGCCAGCAGAACGGCACGCGGCTTAGATCCACCAGCTCTTACATGGGAGAGATATGGGCCGTATCCTCTGCGTGACTTGCTGTCTCTGAAACGCTGCTGGAAGGTCAGGTAACGTCGGTTCTGACTTCACGGTACATAACAATCATGTTCACTAGATAAAAGGAGCTCAGGTGGCGCTGTGTGCTACGTATTACACTGTTAATAGAAACTTGAGCAGTTAGAAGTCACTAGCAGCTCCGGGAAGAAAGAGAGGCAGTCTCTTAAAAAATTTAGTCTCAGAAATCAGAGAGAGGGTCACGGTGAATCAGAATCAACTTGACAGCAATGAGTTTATAAAAGATGTAAGTCATATAATACTTGTCTGGCTGATTTCACATATCTTTCCACACTTTAATACTATCTATTTGTCATCGCCATGGACAAACTGAGCACTCCTGTGATTCCTCCGTATTAACCTCAAAGGAATTCTAGTGGTAACAAGTTGCCTGTTAACCTCAAGGCAAGCAGTCTGAATCTACCATCTTCACTGCAGGAGAAAGGGGGGTTAGCATTGTCCACTCTGCCTGAATGACATACAACACTAGTAATAATGAAACGTGGTCAGTGAGTTAGAACTGACTCATCAGTGGGCCACCGCAGGTTCACCAGAGGCTAGAACTGCACGGGAGGAGATTGCCCACCCTTCCACAGAGCAGTCAGTGGACTGAAACCACCTGTTTTGGGTTCTCAGAAAAGCTTCTCACTAGGCCCCCAGAGCACATCCCGATTTTCAGCTGGATTTCTCCGGCAGACCTTCCTGATCAAGTAACTGATAGTACAACTGAGGTCGTGATGCACTGCAGTGTCTCCTATTTCTGTTGTTAAACATTTTTAATTCTACTTCCTATTTTCATTTGAGATTTAGTCAATGTAAAAAGTCCTTTTGATCTTTAAAAAGTATACATTAGCTTAACATGACTGGTAGAAACATTACTAGAGGTTGTTCTCTTAAGTTTGCTACATTGATCGTTTGTGTTTTTTTTTAAACTATTCACAATTGTAATATAAATTACCTGCTATTAGAGGAAAAAATAGTCATAGTTTCCTAATTCTATGCATATCCCATGAAAGAGTTAAAGTAATTAAGGAACATGAGAATGAAAAAGAACGTGAATAACTACATACTTTCTCATTACTGCTATGCTTTCATTTGATGGGTGTCCCCCCTATATTATTATTGTGGTAAATAAGTATGTAACAGTCTGTGGTGTTAGCCTAAAGTTGGCTTTTTCCCCCCAGCCATTACAGTTAGCCCCCACTGGTCTCCAGCTATCTTCACTGCAGATACATGGTCTTGCCAATCACCAACACCTGTGGGACTAAGTTAAGTGAAAGTGTGCTTCCCACACTGAACAGCAAGACGTGAGGTGAGCAAGGCTTGTGACAGCAAGATTCTGGTAATAGTGAGACCCTGGTTGTGAAGAGATTGTGGCATTGCTGTGGACCAATGATAGCAATGTGTGACCTGAGTCTTCTTGGATTTGTGCTACCTCAGATAAAGATTTTGCTGTTCTTGCCAGAGGTTTCAAGGAGAAGCTGACTTCTAACTGCTGTGAGGCAAACCTTGCGGGAGGATTTGGATTTGGCAGCTGAACTGAAACTGGAGCCTGAACTAATCAAGGAATCCCGTCTTGAGACTGCTTGGTTAAGACTTGGATTTACATGGGGTGATATTCTTTGCGTCACCTACTATTTAACTTTCTTCCCTAATAAGCTACATTTGTGGGACTATTACTGTGAGTCAACAATGACTAAAAGAACCCTCTTGCTGTCAGTGTCACTCAAGAGACACCACGGTGCTGGGCTGTGGGTTCTTTATTTGCCTTCTCCTCTGGTGCAATGCACGAATGTGCTATTATTACTCCTTCTGATATTGCAGAGATATGCTTATGGCCCTGTGCCCCATGTCTGGTTTCCCTTTGTTTAGACACTGCCGTTTCAACATTCCTCTGTGTACAATTCAGGTATATTTGTTTATTATGTTGTTAAGCGTTATCATTATTTCCTTTCAAATATTTCTGTTGCTCTCAACAAAAGCTCAGTACTGTTTATTGAGTTTTGCAGTGAACTCCCAAGAAAGCAGCTTGCGTCTCTGCTGGTACCACTCCATAATGGTAGAGGTCATACTTATCTGCCCTGTCATCATACAGGTTGCACGTAGTAGGCAGTCCAGAGTATCACTTCATAAACTAATGTATGAGAAAGATGCTTATAGAATATTGAAAAAATTTGAATGATACACTTTTATTAGGAAAACCAACAACATATAATTGTACATAAAACAGGGTTTCAACTGTGTAATAAAGAATGTATGTACTGTATAGGAAAAGAAGCATGGATGAAGAATGTAAGCATACCACATTAATAGTATTTTTCCTAGTCCTCTTAAAAATTTTCTTTACTTTCTAATGTCTAGCATAATTAGGAAGCATGCATTATTTTTATAGGAAGAAAGTAGGAAATAATTAGTAAGAACCTAAGAAATAGGTAATTGACTTGCATTTGCCTTCTCTAAAAACCACTAAGACTTTTATTTTCACTTAAGTTTTTAAATGAAGAAGCACGTAAAATTTAAAGGGAAGAAGAGAGAAAAAAATCCCAAAGAATTTCTGAATAAAAAGGTGA